TAAGACTACCCTTAAGACATGCTGATTCCTTATCCTATTCCTATTACTGCATTAGAGCCAAAACTGTGACTTGCACAGACTGTCATTGTGGAATGAACAGTATACGTGGAAAGCTAGCATAAGGATAATACATTCCTTTTGCACATTAGTTTGTTGAGAATTTGTAGTACTTCTGGATAATACTAAATACATATTGATCATTCTACTTTATTCTTTTTCTCTTTTCAACAGGGAGAAAAGGAACCTGCCATTTACTCCTATTCTGGCATCTGTTAATCGCCTTGTATGTTACCACCTAGGAACGGTGGCAAAGGGGTCTTTCATTATCACACTAGTGAAGATACCTCGAATGATTCTTATGTATATTCATACACAACTCAAAGGAAAAGTAAGAGAAATAGATTCCGTTTTTCTTACTGAAACTCAATGCCTGACGTGTTTACAGCTAATTTAATTCCATCGGTGTGGGGGCTGGAAGTCTTGTTTTGGAATATTTGGTGTTCAAAGGACCGTGGGACTGAGAGGGACTGCTTAGGTTTTTCAGTTTTTCAGTTACTGAAACACAAGGGAATCTTGTTTTCTTAAGATCTGTTGTTTTTACTCTTTATCTTTGTTTTTCCACATTCTTTGCTTTCCTAGGAAAATGCTTGTGCTCGCTGTATGCTCAAAGCCTGCATCTGCTGCCTTTGGTGTCTAGAAAAGTGCCTGACCTACTTAAATCAGGTAAGATTTTCAATACTCAAGTCTTATGTAAGGGCTGATAATATATGTGATTCCCAGAATGCAGTCTGAGGCTGACATATAAGGTATTGTACGTTGGAACTGAACTTCAGTGAAGGTACTTCAATCTTGTCTCCATTACTGAAATTACACTGCAAATCACTACATTAGTCTTTGTTTACCTTGTAAAGGTGAGAAATAGCTGGTATTTATCTTTGTGCACATGGTATCTCAACTTTAAAACAATTTGTTTAGTGGTTGGAGATGTTCCTCCTTATGTGCACTCTATCAAACTACACCTGAGCTTCAAACTGTGTTTGTTGTCAACAGAGACTGAAGCTTTTCTAGGTGTAATTTTTAAGGTTCACACCATTGAAAAACTGTATATAATGTCAAATTGTCATCATCATCTACAAAGTGGAAAAAGAGTTGCAAGTTGCGACACACTGGCTGGTCAGACCCCTTTGTAAAATAGATTTTATTGGCCTGTGGTCCCACCTCTGTTAACTACATCTCTAAATATCTTTCTAATATCCCTTTCACTGTTGTTCATTTTTTTGCTTGTGGAAATACAGAAATAAAAGCAGAAGGCGGCATTTAAAAAACCCCTAGTATAATCCTTGAAAATTGTCCTGGCTGACTTTGAATGCAGTCTAGTGAAGTATCTAGAAATTATCTTGGTGGACTTGCATGACTCTCAAACTCTCATATTTCCAGCATATTTTTTCTAACTACTTAATTGCTGTAGTTATGCCACTGCTCACGTCCTCCTGCAGAGAAATTGCAAATTCTGTTTAATTAGTTTTTTGGAATAAACTTGTTAGTGCATAAATGATGAGCAAGGGAGCAGAAGAATAGTAATTCTCTACCTCATATAGTCTTCTGTCAGCTGGTACATACTGCTTGATTCAACAACTCTCAAGAGAATCTTCGTTCATTAACATCATACGACTTATGTGACTTATTCAGAAGCCGTATCTTCTCTCCCTTCTCCCCTCCCCTATCTGAAATATCTGATCATTCCATGAGTAAATCTTCAATCTGCTTTTCCCAGAACGCATATACAGCCACAGCTATCAACAGCACCAACTTCTGCACCTCAGCAAAGGATGCCTTTGTTATTCTAGTGGAAAATGCTTTGCGAGTGGCTGCCATAAACACAGTTGGGGATTTTATGCTGTTTCTAGGAAAGGTATGTCTGCTGTATACAGTTGTTACTGACCTACGTCGTAGCAAGCTTTCTTTAGCAATGGCTTGCATCCCAGATACAAAATGCCTTCAAATTCCTGTTTCTTAGCATGCACTTTATAACATCTAGCTGCATCATGTCAGGAGGGGACTGTCCAGGATAGGGAGGATAGACAAATGACCCACTTATGTTAAGTGAAAGTGATCAGAAAGGAATAGCTGAAGATGATGACACCTTTTGCATGAATTTATTTTTAGGGAGTCAAGAGAAAAGTGATTATTAGAAGTTCTGAGTTTTTGATTGGTTTTGTGGTTAAAACTTAGAATTGGAAGGAAAGGAAGCATTTCCTCTAAATGCTGTTTAGTAAGGGCTCTCCGGGTTTATGTTGAAAATTGGCACATTATTGATCACCCTTTGTGACAAAATTGGACTGGAAGGTAGTATAGGAGCCTGTTATGAGGAACTGCCAGCTTTATTACATTCTGAACTGTCTTCTTTATTACATTCCTCTACGTTTATTAAGTCAGAGTACAGTGGGCTGAACTTTTAAACCAGTAATTAAGTCAATAAGATGTGAGAAGAAATAAACACAAAATGAAGAAATACGTGCTTGGGAGACCATGGAATTATATAATGTGGTTTTATGGAGGTGTCTGAAAGGTTTCTGTTAGGAAACAGGTCCCTGAAAAGATGTCTTTCAAATTATTAGAGAAATGCACAGGTGACAGAAATGTTAAAATTAACAGCACAGCATATAAAAAGTAGTATCAGCTAAAACAGTGCTAGGCTGTCAGCCTGTGTGCTCTATCAGTGCAACCCGGTATTTTCATAATACAGTAAAGCTGACCTATTTTACAATTTCTTGTTTAGCTGCAGTTCGTAATAATAGATTCAGAAATATTAAAAATGTTGGGTGCCACAACAATTGGTTTAGTCCTTTTGTTATTCCCAAAGACCAAACTGGTACCCAGTAAAATATCTGTTAGGGCCTCACACATAGCGCAGTTCTGTGTGTGGAGACTGTTACATGAAGTGCCTCACGTGAATTCTGATCTACTTGCCCTGTATGGAGATGAGACAGAGATAAGACAAGCTTGGAAGTTGTTTCTGCCAGCAAAACGAAAAACATACTGTCCCCCCCCCGAGACCTGCCTTACCTCCTCCCTCTCCCTATGTCATTTGCACTCAGGGATGTGGGGAATCCAGGAGGTAAAGATGTCATTACCACTAGCATCTGTAACCCCTAGTTCTAGCACTGGCAGAGCAAGAAGCACATAGGTTAAAACCAAACCAAAGCAAAGAAAAAAAATCAAAAGGCTTCTGCCATTAGAGTTGTCTTCTGTTTTCTTACTCAGGTCCTGATTGTCTGCAGTACAGGTTTGGCTGGGATTATGTTGCTGAATTACCAACGAGATTACACCATCTGGGTGCTGCCACTCATCATTGTCTGCCTCTTTGCATTCCTGGTTGCTCACTGCTTCCTTTCCATTTATGAAATGGTTGTTGATGTCCTTTTCTTATGTTTTGCCATCGATACAAAATACAATGATGGGAGCCCTGGGAGGGAATTCTACATGGATAAGGTTCTCATGGTAAGTTTCCCCTTGCTCTCTAAGGCTAAGGATATGATTTCATAAGATGGGTATTTTGAGAGTGAACTCACTAGCTGAGCTTAATACTTCTTTTTTTTTTACCTGGGTTACCTTGCTGTCTTGTTCATGGCCTGATCAGCAAACAGTGTGGTCTGATGAGCATCAGATAAGTAATGATGCTTCCCTCCCTTGATGTCACTGGTACTGGCTTCTATACGCTGGCTGAGAGATGAGCAGTTGTCTTGCAGAACCATACCTTTGGGTATCATTTCTTGTAAATGATACACTGCAGAATGGAAAGAACCAAAACAAGGGGTAAAGGATTGGTTTTTGTACTTTCCTAAGAAGGACCTCTCTTGGGACATGGAAGAGAAAAATACCGGAGTATTCTACCCCAGACGCAGATAGTGACCACACTGGAGTTTTTCTTCTTTCAGATAGACAGGAACCACAATTTGCTTCTCAGTCTGTCGTGCACAGAAACAACAGATACTATGTTCTGTCCTGGAGCCTAGATACTATGTCAAGCAAGGCCCTTTGCACAATTCAGTTCTTATTTGTTTGTCCCATCTTATTCCCTGTTCACTCTGGCTAGAGACCAAGATGTAGAAATTCTGCTCCTCAAGCCATTCAGCTTGTTGTTGAGTAGGTAATTTTCTTGATAATGTTTTTTTAAGTGGCAGCTGTAGAATATGCCCCTGTAAAATGTACCCACATGTGTAGGCTAGAGGAAGACTCTTATGACTTCTTAGCATAATTTTTTTTTCTGATTACTTGTTGGAAAAACATGTCAAGAATTTAACGTTAAATTTTTGGTAAAACACTACAGAATCTAGCGTATGTAATAATTTAAATGGTAGCTCATGAGTTGCTTTTTAGCACAGAATAAGAGTAAAATGCAGTATGCTGTCTCAGAAGACAGCACAGATGAATCATAAAAGTATTGTGGGTTTCTTTAGTGAACAGTCAATATCAGAAAACACTAGCAGCTAAAGTTTACTGAAATTTGCTAAAGAATGCTTGCCTTTAAGAGAAAAAATTACATAAAATGGAATTAGCACCTTTGCTAATCTTTGTGAGTAGGTGATTCTGATCTGGTGAAAAATGTAAGAGTTTGAGTTGAGGAAGTTAGGGAAATCAACAAGACCTTGCAAGGAATTATCTCCAATTGCCTCTATTTAATGGAGTTCTAACATTACACACAGTTCACAGGATGGGATGTAATAATTAGGACCTCTGGGTTTTTTGACAACCATCCTCCTACCTTCCTTCCCCGTAAAGGAGAGCATTGTGTGGTAAATTTGAAAGTTGTAACAGCACACAAGGCAAATACCTGTCTGGTTTCCAGAGTTAAATGAGGGAGACCCTTGTGCTATTTGGCAGGCTCTTCTGGTACTTTGTGGACAAGTCTGACCAAGAGAAGTGGGAGAAGCAAGTTGTGTTGACATTTTGAGCAGTTAAATCTTGAAGTTTTGTATTGAGATTTGATGTTTGGAGTTTGCTCTAAGAAAGCACTTTTCACTTTATTACTGTTTTTCAGGAGTTTGTGGAGAATAGTAGGAAATCTATGAAAGAAGCGGGCCGGGGAGGTGGAGCTGAGGGCAGAGAGCTAAAACCAATGGTAGGTGCAGATGAGGAGGTGGCGATCCTCCAAGAGTTTCACTTTTACTTCTTCTCCCTCTTTGTCTTTACTGACTGCACTTCTTCAGGAGAAGTTTTTGTTCTCTGTATCACTCAAGATGTTCTGCTTTTTCTGTTTGTGAGCTTGCCTATCACCTGGATGGCAGAGTTTTTGTCACAGCTGAGACCATCTCCTGTAAAAGTAAGATGAAAGGAACTGAGTCATATGAAACAAACACAGTATCATTTCATTAGGATTAGTATGCATGCTATGTGATATACACGGACAGCCCCAGCTGCTGAGTACTCTCAAAATAAGATGACTCTGGAATTCATTGGGCTATTCTGACTTTAATCCTCTTTCCAGTCCTGAACTGAACAATTTTTGTTCATCTTAACGTTCACTGTAAAAGCCTGAAGAACACTACTGAGCGCATCCATTGTTGCAAAGTAGGACCAGGCATTTAAAGCTCTCACCAAATTATTGTATACAGTGCCAAGGAATTGGATACAGTGATTCCTTTCAACCTGCTCAAATGACATTTCTCCCAGTTGTTTGTTTTTATTGCCAACTACTTATGTTGCTTGTCTCTTGTGTGCTCTTTCCATCTCACACTGTCAGATACACAGACAGTGAACAATGCATCATTTATGCTTCTGCAGCCTGTTTTACTTATGGTGTGCCTGTTAGGAAGGCATTGCATGTCTGAGTAGCCTGGAATAAGGAACAGCTATACATGGTACAGATAACAGATAGGAGGATGAGTTTGGAAGGTGGAGAACTGAGAGCGTATGATGGAGACCCAGGCTGGGCAAGGTATGACTTGTCATCGTGCAATACAACTTTGTGAAATAAAATATTTTTCCATCATTACTTTCTCAGAGTATTTAGGGCCTGACACAGTTTCTTACCACGGGGACAATTTTTAACCTAATGGAACCTAAATACGTGTATGCTAACAGTAGAATTTTTTTTAAATGATGTATGTGAAGCCATGTTGCATGAGCACTTTTTGACCTAGCTGGAATGGGTTCCTGCTGTAGAATGGGTAGATGTGTAGCTTTGCGTGTTTTGCTCTTTCATTATAGCATACCAGTTTCTAGATTTGCTTATGCCTAAATGCTGCTGTGTTTATACATCTAAAAAACTAATTCTATGCTCATTTCCTGTTTTCTTCTGGGAGTAATTCTAGCTGTTCAAACAGACAATAATGTTGGGATTTTCAGAGTGGTCTAAACACTGTAAATGTAAAGCTGCTGTTAAAATGATTGAGAATTGGGTTTGCAAACCCTCTAGTCATATGCACAAAAAATCTCAGTCCAAAAGCGTATTATGTTAACCTCTAATTCAAACAACTGGTTTACCTTGAGTGGTTTTCCACTTATGCTCTCGTCAGTGCTAGCACAGACCACTGCTCAGACTTTTGTACTTGACTGCCTAAAGCTTGGAAGTTAAAACCTTTATTCATCCCCCCTTGTAAAAGGGCAAACCAAGTACTTGCTAGTCAAGTGTGGTCTTGTTCTTTTAGCAACTTGACTCTAGGCACTTGAGCCTGGCACGGGCTGAAAATCCTCCTAGGACTGCTGGAGAAGGTGCTGAGCACTTGGGGCTCAGCCTGAGTGTCACTTGCTGAATTACTCCCAGTTCTGCTGCTCATGCGATAGTCTTGTTTGGAACTGACTGGACCTTGTTTTCTCACGTGGTCTTTCATTTTGGGGTGTTCAGCTCCAGTTGTATAGGTTCTGAAATATTACGATCTCACTTCCTGACAAGGATGGGACACAGCAGTTACCTCTGTGAAATTTCTGATAGCTTTCGCCAAAGCATTGATAAAGGCCTCAGTTACATCTGGAATAAGATCATTCATAAGTCTATTCTGTACTAGTAGCACCTGTAGTCCTCAAATTGGGTGTTTGAAAATTAGATTAATTTTTCTTTTTTTTCCCTTCTGTTTTAAAAAATAGTCTTTACTGTTTTGTTTCAGTCTCCTTGAAATGTGGATATTTCTTAGATATGACAATTAGTTCTAAAAGTGAAATGCCCTAAGTGCAGTTGTATTTTAAATAGGTATTAATAGCAGAGATGAGGAAGCATTTAGGACCTTCTGTTCTTGTATCAAGGCACAAGAAAAAAAAAACCTTTTCAAACTTCTTTCTTTATGGTTTCCAGTGACCCCTTTGACTCAGTTTCTCCTTGTCTTTTGGCATTTGTCTAAGACTGTGCTGTATGACTTTGTTTTCTAGGCCTCTGGAGCAAGTTCATCTTGAAACTAGCCAGCCATATTGGAACCCATTGACATTCCAAAACAGTATATATATACATATATACATACATATATATATATATATAAAAAAATAAACAGCCAAAATCAGAGAAAAGGAACAGGGATTTAATACTTTTTTTAACAATTATTTTTGTGAAACATGTACTCTTTTCATACGGGTGGCTTTTACAAGCGGCTTTATCATTGTTCCATTTTTTAAATTATTCATTGTGGTCATGGAAAAGTTGATTCTTATCTGCTTGATATTTTACAATCTGGAGGAGGTATCATTGTAAAGATAATCTGAAACGATGACAGATTTCCCATGACACTGCTAATCTGCTGAGAGTTTTACTGGTTTAGTTTGTTTAAATTTGCATTAAATTCAGGACAGTTACATGTAAGGAAAACCTTCAAATCAAGAAAGTCTTAAATTTAGTTTTCCGAAGTTGGTTTCAGTGAGAGTTCATTCAGTTCGAACGGGTTTGTAAGCAGTCATTTTACTTTACAGCCCTGGTGGGGCACAGTTTTGTTTATCAGTATCAGATACCACAATAACCAACTCCTCAGGTATTCAGGTGTGTGGGAGCCCTTGCATCTCCTATTAAACAGAAACTAGAAAATGGGGACAGATAATTTTTATATGCAATTAACTTCCTGTTTTACCCTACTTACCCCTCTTACCTGTTGCCCGCTATCCTCCCCTTGAGTTCAGTAGCCTCCTTCACACTTCAGCAGTGCTCCTTTGAAGGGTATGGATTCTCCATATGAGTGATTGAAATAACAGATTGTTAAAGCTCAGTCTTAGCCATACTCATGATTAATTCATGACTAGATGTAACAATGCTGAGGATGGGAAGAGAAATGAACTGTACTACTACTGTACAAAAAAGTACTGTATGCTTCATTTCATTTAATGCCGGAGAGCTTTGGGAGGTGGAAGGGACCATTCCTTGCCTGTTGTTTCATCCGTATTTGTATGTACTGTAGCAGGTGGCTAAAACAGGAAAGGGCAGAGAAACATTTCTTTGGAAGTGTAACTGCCAGGATAGTTATCTAAAGTTATCCAATAGCAACAAGAGAACGCGCTTTTTTATTATTATTCTTAGATATTTACATTTCTTTTCAGTCTGGAAGTTCACCAGATATGAATGCTAATACTCAATTCTTCAGCATATTGTGATGGTAAATGCTTAAAAGTGTATTTACTAAAAATTCATGATCTGTCTATGCTATATACTCCTTTTGTTACAATTTTTTTAAGAAAACTATTTTTGTTAATGTAAAGTTAATATTTCAGAGCAGAATTTTTAAACTTATTGCACTAAATATAAGCTCTGTACAAATAAATAATGCCTCAACGGTTCAATCACTCCATTCAAGAAAACCTTTTGAAAGAGAAAAGCCCTTCTACAGAAGCTTTGCGAAGGAGTGGAGAGGTATGTCTAGGTAGAGACATGTACAACTCATGTTTAACAAGTAAGCAGTTCTCTGTGCTTCCTTTCAGAGGATCAGGCTTTTAAATTGCTGTCGAAAGTTAAAAAAAAAAAAAAAAGTAGTATCATGTAGCTAGCCAGTGCTCTTACCTTTTGGCAATAGTGAAATATTTCACTTTTGCTTCTAGAAATCATTTGATAACTTAAATTTGTTTAGTTTTCTTTCGGTAAGCCAATTAAAAGGATTTACTCTTTTCATATCACAGAACCCAAACTATATGAAACCTATGAAAATAAAAATATGTTTAGAAATTATAGCTGCTGGGGAGGCAGGGAGACAGAATTGTCCAATCCCGCAAACACTTAGACACTCATTTAAGTGAACCATATCGATAGCTCCACTGACATCAGGCGGGCTCTCTAAATATGGAAGCTGTAAGTTACACATCTGTGTAAGTGCTAACTGGACTAGAGATTCAACCTAGGGATTCAGACTGGAACACTGGTGAGGCCTCTCAGTGCAAGTTAGAGGTCAGACTATCTAGAAGCAACACTGGAGCAGCCTTAAGTTTGTGGCGAGGAGGCGTTCCTGCTGTACCAGTGGCTAAGACAGCAGTGGCACTGAACAACAATATTTGTGTAGATCAGTGAGGTTTAGCAACAGAAATTTAAAAACTGGCTCAGTTGAACACTAGAAACTGGATTCCAAGGCTAAGAGACTTACCACGTACGCAGTTGCTTCCAGAGAAATTAATTTCCATCTTGTCTGGAAGTTATTGGAGGTGCTTTGTTTGAAGCCTTGGATTCTGCACATTTTGACAACAAATTTCTGCCATGTCCAGTTCTGCAAATTTGTGTTCTCTGCTCACTGTAAGTCCTGGGTGGGGGCTTTTCTCTGCAATTGCAACTAGGACTGCAGTTGGAAACAAATTTTGTATTTTTGTATGACTTGACTGTGCACCATTTTTATAGCAGTTTATCCTGTTTTAAAAAGAAATTTGTTTTATTTACATGGTGTTTAAAAGATACAGGCAACACTTTTCTATGGTTAGTTGTAATGTTTAAGTGACAAATCTATATCATTATAAAGTTCTTAATAAAATCGTGTGCACCATTCTTGAGCGTATATCTGGCATGCAGAGTTTTTCAGTCATGCCAAAGAGGCATTCCATCCACGCAGGCTTTCCAGTGGTCATTTTGAATGTCCTTTGAAGTTCATTTGCAACCAAACTACAAGCTGCCCTCTACCAGCTCTGTCTTGTGTAAGGACATAAGCAGAAGACTGACGTCTGAAGAGACAACTTTTCAGGACAAATTTAGACTCTGCTTTCCTTCCCTAGTGGGGATAGTGGAGTAGGAGAACACTTCACATGTAAATCCCCAGTTGGCACTAGAGGCGCTGGGGTCTGCCAGCTGTGATGGATTAAATATTTTTTTTTTGCCAGCTGGTTATTAAAGCCAGTATATGGACTGCTTTATGGGAAGCAGTTTAGACTAACTAGAGAGTGATGCTGCACTGGGAATAACTGCAAGAGGAGCAGGTGAGACAGCTGAGATAGAGAAATCATCTCCTTGGAAAGTCCACTGAACCAAGCAGTGCTAGAGGACTGGAGATTCAGGCTGGACAGTTGGGGTTTAAAAACCAAGCCAATGGGATTACTGGTTCCCAGCATTTGGTTTCTGCATATGGTCTGCATCATAGCCTCTGATCAGCTAGGTTTCAAAGGAAAAAAAGCATGCCATACTTCAAATTGTTTAATTTTTTTCCACATCATTTTACTCTGTTGTGTTTGGAAGCTGAGCAGCAGTGTGTTGTCTTTTTTGCTTCTTCCAGCCCTAGAGAATTTTTTTTGTTCTTCTAGCTCTCATTTCTGTATTGCTCTTTCAGCAAAGGAGTGCCAAGTGGCACTTTGTCGCACCGATCTTAGCACGTGCCTTCTCACCTTCCCGAGGCAATGATTCAGGATATCACCTGGAATGAATGGGAAGGGGAGTAGGTGCTGAGCTGAAGTTCTGAGGTGGGTTGTTTTTTTGTATGATACCACTCCATCGCTGTGCTTGCTGTGGTTAGGAGTGCAGCCCGTCACTTCTACAGTTTCAGTGCTGCTCCACAGCTAGAGTAAATATATGGTATGGCCAGCTTAGAATTGCCTCTTCAGCCTTCCAGTAGCTTGTGTTCACACTCCTAGCTGCCAAAAACAGGACTGGGTTTTACATGTGGCCTTAGCTTGGCATGGTAATCCAAGGACTTTCTGCATTAGGAAAGCATGTCCTAGATGGAAGAACTTAAAGTGGAAGACCCAGTTACAGGTTGTGGTGGGTTGACCCTGGCTGGCAGGTAAGCCCCTACTCCGTTGCTTGCTCACTTCCCCCGGTAGGATGGGAGGAGATGTGATGGATGGAAAGGCAAAAGCAAGAAAACTCATGCGTTGAGATAAAGACAGTTCATTAAGTAAAGGGAAAAAAAAGAAAAAGAAACCCAAGTGATGCAAAGGCAATCACTCACCACCTCCCACCAGCAGGCCGATGCCCAGCCAGTCTCCGAGCAATGGCTACTTAGGAAAACTTGACCCTCCTCCCTTCCCCCTTCCAATTTTATTGCTAAGCATGGCATTATATGGTATGGAATATTTCTTCAGTCTGTTCAGGTCAGCTGTCCTGGCTGTGTGCCCTCCCAACCCTCTTGCCCAACCCCAGCCTACTCTGCTGGGGCGGCAGAGTGAGAAACAGAGGCGGCCTTGACCCTGTGCAAGCACTGCTCAGCAACACGTAAAACACTTGTGTGTTATCAACACTGTTTTGGTCGCAAATCTAAAACACAGCACCATACAGGCTGCTGCGAAGAAAATTAACTCCATCCCAGCCTAACCCAGTACACAGGTCCACTTACCCAAGAGTTAATCCAAGACTCGCTCTCTGCGTTTCTGTATAGCACCTTCTCAGGGTGGTTACTTCTTTCTGAAAGGGCTTTTTCAGCAGCAGGCAATTAGCCTGCTCCACAGTGCTCCCTTTCATGGAGGGAGCAGGGGATGCTAGCTCTTACTCTTTCAGCACAAAATGGGGATATAAAGCAGAAATGAGCCCTTTCTGTATCAGTGTTCTGGCAATTGAGCAGCCAGTGTTGGAGACAACATACTTAACGTGCCATCAGGGCATGCACTTTAGTGGTTTGCTCTGAGTGGTTATTATGTATTCTATGAATGTATGTTATAGAGTCAGAATAAAATGCATGTAGCAGACATGTACTCATCATCACCATCCAGTGATCATTTGGTTCTGAGTGCATATTACATGCTGTATTGAACATGGCACTGTCATTTTAAGAAACACTATTAAGATTTAAAAGTAGATACTAAGAACATCCCTGTTTTTTAAATCATGGCTTTGCCTGTGCAGATACTGTTTACTAAATCTAAACGTCACAAGTCCATTGTTTCTTGAACAGTTTGCGTGTCGCATTATCACCACAGAAATCCTGTTTCATCTTTGTGGAAAAAAACCCTCGTGTTTCCCAAAACAAAACCCAACAGGCTTATTTGAAGCATTTCTTGCACTGAGCTTGTTTGTTGGGATGATGGAAGTTTACTCTAAATATTTCATTTTTAAATGCTCTTTCAACTATTTCA